CATTCATGGTGGACAAAAATTTAAATATAAAGGTTTTGGAAAACGTCAAACTTCGTTAGTACTTTATTTTACTTTTTTAAAAGATTGTATTATTATTCTCAGACAGTAACTGTTATAACTGTTTGTTCTATTTCAATCAATGAATAATTTATATTTCTGAATAAAGATCTTGCCTTCAAGTTACAAATAGTTATAAACTTATATGAATTAAACCCCTTATAATGCTAATAATATATAATAAAGATAATAATAATGGTAATGTAAGCAATATATCCAAAAACATAGCTTTTAAAATTCTAATAAACAACAATGATAACAATAACAACAACAGTAATAAAAATAAAAATAATATTATAAACAAAACTAATTCTAGTGTTAGTGTATAATTCAAGTAAGACAGTAAAAATGAAAATCTGAAAGTTACAGAAAAGCAGTAATAACAATAATAAAATTAATCACTACAAGTGGTTAAACTTCCCCAGGTTTAAACATTTTTTTTCTTTCTTATGGTTTCTTTTTTTCTTGTTTTTGTTTGTTTTGTTTTTTTTTGTTTTTGTTTGTTTTTTTTGTTTTTTTTGCTTTAAATTAAAATGTTTGTTTTAAGTCTTTCTTAGATTGAGTATGGATTATTATAAATGACTTAAGATACTAAGGCGTGTAAGATATTGCTACAAAAGTTGCGATTTCTATCTCCTCCACTGGTAAAAATTTCATTTTTTCCCAAATAGAAAGAACTTAGTTCCCATAACCTTAGCTAGTGTTCATATCTTTAGAAAAGTTTTCAGGTTAATGGCATTTCCTATGTATTCTTTATCTTCTTGTGCAATCTGATGCATGTAAGAATTTTTTTTCAAAATTAAAAAAAAAATTAACCTTAGGAATTTATAAATACAATATTAAGAGTTAAACCTGAAAAATAGAAAAATAGTGTTCAAATAAATCCAAAATAAATATAATGCTAGATATTAGAACAGTTTAGTGAGATACTCAAGGAATTATAAAGTATACTTAAATAAAAACAATTGTAAAACATTAAAACAATATACACAAAGTTATAGATTTAATAATATTTTATTATAAATAGTATAATTTGCACTGTAACAGTTCAAAAATAAACAAAAAAGAAAAAAAAAACTTGTTTATGTAGGTTATTAATAAAAACAGCACACTGCAGATATATTGAACTTTTAGTAACTCAAAGTGTTTTAACATTCCTGTTGAACTCTCAATCACACTTTCTCATAAAAATCACTATGTTGATAACTCAAACCCTTTGATAACTTGAAAATTCCCCAAGCCAAACCTTTTTTTTTTGTCCCTGTGGCTGATAATATCCCAATAAGTTGAACTTTAGAAGAAAAATATTAACAAAATTTTTATTAAAAGTAAATATTCTTTTATTACATTAAACTTTTTTGATTTCCTTAATATATATCAAAAAATATATTAATTTAAAACTGAGACATAAGGAGATTTTATATTTTATGATCTATTTTGTTTTCATTTATATTTTTTTATTTCTATTTTATTTTTATTTTTTATTCACATATTATTTTTATTTTATCTATGAATGCATCCAAGTTTGCTTGCTAAGTAGTGCATAGTTAATTTTAGATTGCTTTTGATTAACTGCTATAAATGCTTCATATCTATTGCTCTTTCCGATCTGGTCAATGTTGCAATTCTAAGTTGCTGTTATAAAAGCATTGAAACTTTTTGCTGTTGTATTACTGAAACTTTTAAAGCAAACAGTTTGTTAACATGTCAATTTTTACAATTTAGAAAAGTTGCAATGAAGATTTTATTTTATTTACCATTTCAGATTGAATTAAAAAAAAACTTTTTATAACTTGAATTATTTTTATTTATCTGTAAAAGTTTGAATTGTGAAATATCCTGATAACTAGAACATTTGCAAACTTGAAATAATTTCTTTGCTTCCCTGAAGGTTTGAGTTATTGGCAGTTTACTGGATTTATTTTATAATAAATAATTTTTTTTATTTAGAAATACAAATATAATTTGTTACATAGAACTTTTTATTAGTAATACAAATACTTTTTTTTTGCTTATTTAATTTATGAAATAAGTATCTAATTAATACATTTTTTTTGTAGGACATATAAAAAAGATTGCCCTTTCTACCTACACTTTAAGGCATCGGAGGATGGACAAGCATTAATCTTGCAAGAATTGAACAATACACATAATCACGAAGTATCTGAAGTAAACTATTATTATTTATACTTAAAATATGTTTTATAAATAGCATTATTTTACAATTTTTTATATAGACAGGAAAAAGTAATGAAATCCATAACACTTTTTTTTTTTTTTTTTTTGGGATTTCATTATTTTATATTATGATAAAATTATAATTGTCAAATCTGCTGCGGGTTATTAATATAATTTGATAATTATGTATATATATATATATATATATATATATATATATATATATATATATATATATATATATATATATATATATATATATATATATATATATTTATATATTTATATATAAAATATATGTATATATATTTCAAATAATATATATATACACACACACACACACAAACATATATATATATATATATATATATATATATATATATATATATATATATATATATATATATATATATATATATATATATATATGTATATATATATATATATATATATATATATATGTATTATTTAAAAACCATAATCTTGAAATTTTAAACAACTTACTTCAAAATGTATTTGATTTAGTGTGAATCTGCTGCTATGAAGAGCTCTAAATTTTTTTCAAATAAATTCTTTTTAATTCATAATCAAAATAAAAAATCTTATTAAAAAATCAAATTAAAAATTTGTTATTGGGAGTTTTTATGAACTTTTTGATTTGAATTGATTTGTGGGTGTGATTGAATTATAGATTGTGGCTATACAAGCTTATATATTCTTCGGTTTTTTGTAACTAAGTATGATGTTTTTGAATTTTTGCTAATTTATAAGTAAATTCTGTGAATTCCTGATATCTTGACCCCTGGATAATTTGAACTTTCAGTAACTCGTATTACTTTTGAGTTCAATTCGAACCCTCACTAACAATCATAAAAACTGTAAATAGCTTGTTAGAATATATTATTAAAGTTTAAATAGCCTTTACAAATTGAAAAATATCTCATAAACTGTTTTTGTACATAAATCAAATCAAATATATTCTGAAATTAGTTGTTAACATTTCAAGAATATTTACAATAGTACAAGTACTAATATAAAGTAAATTCCTAACAAATACAATATTAACATAAACATAGCTAAAAATATTTAACAAATACAACACATCAATTTAAACAACTATGAAGATAATAGTAGTAATAATAATATGATGTTTAATATAGTATAAATAATACTAAT